TTACATTGTTTATAAGGCTATGTAATTTTAATGGGCATATGAGTTTGCACTTTTCAAAAATATATGTAGTATTAATGATTATCTGTTTGTTACAGTTTGTAGAAAACTGTGTAATTATTAGTCATCCCTGAACCTTGAGGTATATTGACCATATATTTTTGTGTAACAACCTCTAAAGTTTAAATCCAGGAATTTTTTTTTTAAACACAGGATTTAGCAAGTATTGTCGAAAACATAGGTTGCAGTTTAAAATGTATACATGTTGTCAATAAGAGGCATGAGTTTGACCCCATCTGGCACAGTTTCTTGTCACTTAAAGGTTCACATTCTGCCATGGGCGTTGCCCCAAACCCGAACTTGACAATTGCATCGACGATCATCAGGGATGAGGGGAAATACATATTTATAAACCTAACGAGGCAGCCCGTAAAGAAAAACAAAAACCGGCTATCTTCCAAATAACGGTCTCAAATTATCGAGGCCGAAAATATACCCTAACAGAGCCCAGTCACGTATCAATTTCGAACTTCCGGCGACTTAAATTTGTGCACTTCTGGCGACTTCCGCCACCGCCGAGATAGTTTGGGGCTAAACTAGATGGCTGGGACTCACAAGCAGCAGCTACCGCATCTCCTGCAGCTTCCTTCATTTTATTTGCTCCTGAGTCCCAGCCATCTAGTTAAGCCTCAATCCACGCCGCGTGAGCGGCGTGTTGGACACCCTCGGCGGTGGCGGTATAGTCCCCGGAAGTACGCAATTCAGGGGTGGCGGTAAAGTCCCAGAAGTGCGCAATTGACACGTGACTCAGACTCTGTTAGGTGTATATTTTCGGCCTCGATAATTTGGGACAGCTATTCAGAAGATAGCCCAAGAACTTATAGAGGCTAGGGCGAAAGACACGCCTTCAGTAATTCGAAAATCCACAGACAGTTTAAAATAGGAACAGTTATCTATAAAACATATGTTACTGAAAGTTTAAGAATACATCTTTGTAAACACGTACAAAGATGATAAAAAATGCACCAATACAGAATGTGCGGAGAGAAACAAAGCCAGGGAAGGGCCAAGTAAGCCCATTTCTTTTTTAAGAGCATAATACTAATCACAGTGTGCTGAATGGTTAAAAATATTATAGCATGATAAAAATAATAGTTATAATATTAATAATACTTCTAACAAGAATTGAGATACATGTTTAGAGGGGTCTGCTATACCCTCCATACACAATTAGGAAGATTCAGGTAGAGGTGGGGGAAGGGCGGAGGAGGGGGGGTAGCTCAGGCACCTCCCCCAACTCCTTCTAAAATTTGGCTCAAGTGGTCTGAGCCCCATGTTTTCGACGCCCCGGCGTGTGTTTAATGTACACGAAAACTGAGAGAAAAATAGAACTGTAACTAAGACGAAACACTGTAATCGATCAAGAGGCCGAGTATAAACTTTTATGCAAGCAGTAACTGTCTCGACAGCTGTGGCCGGATAGCCAGTGATCAAACATAATGATCAATAAGTTATTTATGCCTACTGTAGAATTCTATTAGTTGATCGGCAAAATGTGTCTCTGGGGATGGGTTTTGATGGATAGAAAATCGCATTCAGACGTAGATATAGTTTGTTGTAGTTAGTTTTCATATCATTCTTCTTGTACGCTGTGTATTGTTGTTTTTTGTTGTTGATGATGAAAATGTTGATGATGATAATGTTGTTGTTGTTGTTGTGGTTCTTTTTCTTCTTCTTCTTCTTCTTCTTCTTCTTCTTCTTCTTCTTCTTCTTCTTCTTCTTCTTCTTCTTCTTCTTCTTCTTCTTCTTCTTCTTCTTCTTCTTCTTCTTCTTCTTCTTCTCTTTCTTCTTTGTGTTCTTATTGTCCTCAACTTCCTTTTTTTTTCTTTTACTTTCTTTTACTCTTTTTGTCGGTTTATTTAAACCATCGTAATTGTGATATCTGTTCATTATTGTCCGAGAAGGAGGAGATAAAGGAGGAGGAGGAGGAGGATGAGAAGAAGAGAAGAGAAGAAGAAGAAGAAGAAGAAGAAGAAGAAGAAGAAGAAGAAGAAGAAGAAGAAGAAGAAGAAGAAGAAGAAAAAGAAGAAGATTAGAGAGGTCTTGTGAGTGATGGTTGTGAGGATAACAATGAAAATAATAATGATAATGGTAATAATGATGTTGATTATATATAATAATGCACCAAGTTTTTCTGTTTATAAGTCTCAAATACAGTTTGTTCTGGTTGAATCTTTACTAAAAGACCAAACCACTTCACTCTAAGTGAAGCAATGTAATTCGAATGTAGTCTTATTCCAACCTTCTGTCTAATGCTGGGTATTCGTGGCTGTGTCGGTTCTTGTGCAACTGGTCACTTTTCGAGACAGCGCATTTAACGGTTGTGTAATACTACTTCGCCTTCGTCTTTTTCTTTTTCTTCTTCTTCATTCGCTCTTAAGTAGGCGGTTGACAGATGTTTTATGCTTTACTGTTTCCTGCACATTTCGACCGCACAGATCTGATTTCGACTAGTCGTTCATTAGTTGCCTTTTACTAAATACATATTAAGGGGCAGTGGGTGTATTCTTTTATTGTCAAAAAGGGGACCTCTGAAAATATACAGGAAGGGACAGTACATTAGACACGTTCTCTATTCAGTGACACCTCGATAATACGAACTCACATAAAAGGAACACTCGTGTAACATGAACACAATTTAAGAACATCAATGATGCATTATTATTATTAGCCCTTAACTAGCAGGACTTTTTAGCACGAACTCTTGATTTTGCGGCCGCTTGGAATTTGTAAAAACGAGATTTCATTGCCCCTAATTTACTCGAAACAAACAAAAATCAAGCGTGACTATAATCCACCCATACAAGACTACAAGTTACCTGGTAACTTTTGTAGGTGCCCCGATATAACTGGGCTAAGGCAATGCAAACTAGAGAACGTAAACTTTGCCTAGAAAAACTAAAACAGCTAAAAATGATGGGGCTGCTTCTGCAACATCATCTAAAGGAAACGGCAACTAACTTCTGGCTTTATGGTTGAAGCGGGTCCCAGGATTTGTACCGGTTTGATTCTCATTCTTGAGATGTTAATCTTACTGACTGCTATCCTTGGGTGGGAAACTGTAACTAATAATAAAGTAAAGGACCGTTTTCCACGTCTTTAAGCGTATTGGGCATATAGGGCTAGATAGACGAAACGGCACTTGGTGGGAAATATGGTCAGCTTCATGTCGGTCTTCTTTACTTCACAGGACTGCACCTGGTACACATTCAAGGCTTGGTAGACCTGGCAATCCATGTAATTTTCGAAAAACCTCTGGCTCTGTCGGAACCCGAACCCAGACCTTCTGATCCTCAGTCGAGCGTCTAGTTACTACACCACGGTAACTCCAAATAATAATAAATAATAATAGTTATTATTACATTGACGAGATGAATATTATAGTGTATCTGCTTTTTTTCCAGGAGCTTCCATGTGTTATTGTGGGTACAATGATGGATCTAGAAAATGGGAGACAAGTGGAAAAGTTCGACACGCTGAACTGGATCTACAGCAACGGATTCACGGGCGGATTTGTCGAGGTCAGTAGCAATAGCAGTCTAAACAATCGTATCCTGTTCAACCCATCTGAGTCATAATTGTGGACTAAATTTTGAGTTAAGACCTGTCGTTATAATTAATTCAGGAATTCATAAAAGAGCTCCGTCCCCAGTCTTCAGCAGCAGACGCAGTTCCTATTATAATGGAGATTTACAGGGTGTCATAAAAAGAATATATACTTTAAAAAAAAATTATTGGCCTCCCTAATGTGATATTAGAATCTTTTATTTAATGAAAGCCAGAAGATATATCGCATTCCCCCCTCCCCCAACCCCTACATTACAAAGATTCACTATCAGTACCCTTCGTGAACCTGCAGATATCTAGTCAATAGTCAATTTCCTTCCATACTCCAGTCAACATGTCTCTTGTAACTGCAGTAAAGGCTTCTGTAATCGATTCTTGCAGCTTCATCAGATCCGGAGCAAGTAGCAAGTCATAGACTTGAGCAAAGCCCTATTTAAAAAAAAAAAAAAATTCGCATGATGTCATGTCTGGAGACCTCGAGGTACACAGGGTTACAATATTTTTTATCCACCCTGTAAAGATATACTGTTTTTCTTTTTGAACATCGGATAATTCTGCTTGCTTGCTAATTACCTGTAGCTATTTTCACTGAATGGATTATGCATTATTTGTAACAGATTATAGGAGTATCGTTTACTTTTCACCCAGGTAAATGGGAGCACATGCGGCGTAGAGAGAGGCTTACATGACAGCTCCATGACAGTTTATATTCCCATGCCGTATAAGGGCGTATTTTCTTTATTTATGTATTTGTTTATATATATTTTATTTATTTTTCTTGTACTTTTTGTTTTTATAAATGACATCCGTTTTGACACAGCCTAAAATGACTGGCACCTTTCCATTTTTTCCAGGGGATAGGGTTATACTGCACTATGAGGAGGCATGGGACTTACAGCCGATGGCGATGACCAGGTCGTCATTGGAAGTAGATGGTAAATGAGGCCGCCAAAATTGTGACCACTTTCACCCACCCAGAGCTGATTGGTTTAACATATGCCCATTCGCCTCTAGCTAACAATGATCTGCACCACTGGGTGGTGAATCAATACATGACAAGGCAGATGCGGTCAAGACCCTTTGGGAGCTAGCAACGGAATCAGTAGAAATGTAAGATTATTATGGCCTGGAGAGAATGAGGCACCTCAGTGTGACCAGAGGGTCTAGCCGGCTCACTACACTCAGAGGAAAGGCAAGACGGACTTCTGACCAGATTGTGACCGGTATCATCAGTACTGGAGCTCTGCGCTGACTGTTGAAGATGAGGACAGAGTATACACGGGAATTCTTGACTCAACTCAACTCAACCTAACTGAACTATTTTAATGCAAGGATAGCGTGCCCTCTCTGTATGTCTGTCTTTTCCTCAGATGAGAGCTGAACGTCAGAGAAGAAACAGACTAAACATAAATTTTGACAACAATGGTCCTGAAATCCCATGCTATAATTGTAGAAGTCTTTTCTTAACACTCACACTCGCCTTCGACATGGGCTGTGAATCCCATGCCTCCACAAAGCAAAATATAACACCATCGTCTGGAAAGACGGCGAGGTGCCAGTCAATTTACCTGCATGCCCGTCTGTCATATTCTATCCGCCCGTCCGTTTGTCTGTCTTTCTGGCTATCAGTCCGTCTGTACGCCTGTCTGTCTTTTTTTAGCTCGCTTTCTTTCTCTCTTCCACACACACACTCAAATAATGATTACCGTTTTCGTTTCGGCTTTGCCCAGGTCAGTGCCAAAGAAGACGAAAACATCGAGGATATTTTTCGTCTGCTTTTGGACCAGTCTCGAGGGGAAGGAGGACACATAGGGCCAATGAGCCAGGTGTTGTCCTCACGCAGACGCAGCGCCAATTCCTTGGAGGAGAGCGAGCCTGAAAAAAGTGAAGAGTGGGACAGCGATGCTCGAAACTTTAATCGGTAAGTCATCTTTCAAGAGCGGCGTCGGTGGCTTTGGTGTTGCCAGTCCGACTCGTAGTTCCAACGTACCGCGATCGAAACCCACTGCTGGCTGCGTGGATTTTTATCGTGGTATCGATCGTCGCAGGTCAACCCAGCCTAAAATGGGTTCCAGAATATATGTCCTGTGGAAGTAAAGATGGCCGGCGTAATGCTGACAACATTACCCACCTAGTTCTGATTGGTCTGTAAAAATATGGAAAGCTCTTTTTATATGCCTGATTCGCCTAAAGATGTGAAAAGGGATCTTTACCTTTCTACGTCTTCCAAGACTGTCAGTAGGATAGGGATTTAGGATTTTAAAAAAAAAGGGGGGAAGGGGAGGGGTGTTTAATACCTTATGATTCATGAGCCGTATCCTAAATTGCATAATTATCAACTACAAAAGTATTATTATTTTAAAATGAATTTGCTACTAGTGGTATGGTTTATGAAGTTGACAACAAGTTGTGGTAGTGCTATGTGTAACCTCCAAAGTCTTTACTATTAGTCCCAGGCTATACTAATAGAAATACGGTAAGTGACAGTAGTAAGTTTGTTACTGACTTGCCTCTGTTAATGCCAGGTAATACAATTAAGTAGTGTTTCCTAAACTTTTCTAAGTCGCGTATGTAAGAGATAAAAACAAATCACACCAAAAACAAACAAAAAAAATCGATAATTTCAGCTTCTCGCGTAGGCCAAATTGCTTTGTTAAATTATGAAGCTTTTACAAACATTTCTCAGCGCCCCTGTGAAGAGGTCGCGGCATCCCGGAGCGCCGCGGCGCACATTTTTAGAATCACCGCAAGTGTATAGTTAGAGTAGGGGAGAGCACTTGGAAACTTTTCACTAATAGTGCCATCAACATGTTAATGCATAGTTGGCTACCAGAGAAGAAGTACATATGGGAATATCCAAAGTGCGGTAATGTACTTGAAGGATCCTCACCGGTGCAACGGAATTCGTGCACTGAGCTGAAGTTTAAAGTATAATGGAGCATTTAAGAGTTACATCCGCGTGCCATAATGTTGAGACCAGGATTGGCAGTTCATTCCGATAAGTCAGACGTAGCCCTAAATCGCATATGAAGAACTAGCAACAGCTTATATTCATTGGGAACGAGAAATAAAATGTAGTCAATCACTGAAAATGCCAGAAACTAGTGATTGTTTTGAAAGAGTTTGAAAATCTATGTGAAAGTTACACTGCTGGCGCGACATATAATTATTCACAGAGAACTTATTTCTAATTTTTTATTGGGACTTGTTCACTTTTCCCGTTCCATCTACACACTTCCTCAGTTTGATCTAGATCAGAGGGCTGTCACATTGTACTGCTTTATTCTAACAGTCTCTGCTATGACCTAGGTTGATGTTGTAGGTTATGGGTTAGGGCCAGTTTTAGATGTTCTGGGAGTCGGTGAAAGCTGGGTCGTCGTGTAGTATAGAAACCGCGAAATCGGCGCTAGTGTAATTGGAAGGAAGACAACGTTACACACCTCCGGCGTAAAAGAGTCTGAGAAAGTATGAATGAAAGGTCAGGTAGTAGATGAGCCGGGAAATGTGAACAAGACCTTGAATCGCACAGCTGACAGCTGTCAGTGGGGGGGGGGGGGGGGGGGGGGGGGGTTTCACTGGGGGGGGGGGGGGGGGGGGGGGGGGGGTTGAGTTTAGCGTTCACATGCGTTTTACACTTCTGGCTTGTTTATTTATTTAGTTAAATGCAGATTTTGCTTCCTTGCCCATAAAAATGATGATGATGACTTCACATGAGTAACAAATAAATGCACTGTGAGTTTCCTGACATGGAAAAAAGCTACAGTAATCCACACTGATATCTACTGTTTCAGAAGCCGCAGTCTTGTCAGAAGAGGATCTAAGCCTAAAGTTAAGAGAACGCACCGTAGAGGCAAGCACGACTGTCGTGTATCATGACTGTGGACACATCTTACCAGATCAGACAAGTGTGACTTCCCTGTCTATTCAACAAGAAAGAATGCCAGAGATGCTGATATGATGTTAACCTACGACTGAGATCTGTTTACAGCTAACGGTTGTGCGTATTGTAGCATGGAAGATTGTTTGCTATATGTTCAGACAGTAGTTCGGGAAAAGGGGATTGTTGTAACTATGGTATTTTTCTTAAAAATTCCTTGTGAATATGCTCAAACTTTTACTTCGATTTTTTTTAAAACCATTTTTGATGCAGGATCGCTTCTTTTTTAGTTCCTTCAGTATATATATATATATATATATATATATATATATATATATATATATATATATATATATATATATATATATACGTATGTATATGTAAAAATGGACTCTTTTCCACGCTTTAATGTTTATCGGGTATATGATGCTAAAAGTATAATTTAATAGCCCGATCTGAACTATATGTTTCGTGTGGACAGAACCAAGGCCACAGCATTCACATGCGGGAGTTCTTCTGATAAGAAATTTAGGCAGTAGTCACAAAATAGTCTCTGTGTGTATATATATATATATATATATATATATATATATATATATACAGTGAAACTCCAACATTAGTCATTAATCTGTTCCTGTTTAAAAGATGATATTGAAAAGAACGAATATCAACCGAAAAGAATCTCGGTACTGATGGTACTCGTTGTCGTCTAGTTAACTACTCGTCTTGCCTCTCCTCCCGTTCCCCGTCGCCCAAGTCTCCAGTTTAGAGCCCACAGACACTCCCCGCTACATCATTCTGTCCATGCATGGTTTTTTTCAGTATCTTCAGATGCTTTCTGTCTCAAGCAAGTGAATGTAACATCTGATACAGATCTTCCATGCCAGAAGGCAATCTTTACAATGTTTTCTGCTTAGGTCTTTCTCGGCGTCATTTCTCTTTAAAGCAAAATAAAAATTTGAGAGCATGTATCTACCCTGTAGCAACATACCGATGTGAGTCCTGGACTATCTCCCAGTCCTTTCGAAAGAAAGTAAGAGCTTTTGAGCTGAAATGCTATAGAAGGAATCTCAGAAAACCATGGACGAAAAAGAGAAAAAATAATGACATTTTGAAAGATCTCAAAATCAAGGAAGATTGTCTGTTAAACAGTATCTTGACTCGGAAGCTGATGGAAGTTTGTCTGTTAAACAGTATATTGACTCGGAAGCTGATGGAAGTTTGTCTGTTAAACAGTATATTGACTCGGAAGCTGATGGAAGTTTGTCTGTTAAACATTATCTTGGCTCGGAAGCTGATGGAAGTTTGTCTGTTAAACAGTATATTGACTCGGAAGCTGATGGAAGTTTGTCTGTTAAACAGTATATTGACTCGGAAGCTGATGGAAGTTTGTCTGTTAAACATTATCTTGGCTCGGAAGCTGATGGAAGATTGTCTGTTAAACAGTATATTGACTCGGAAGCTGGTGGAAGTTTGTCTGTTAAACAGTATCTTGACTCGAAAGCTGATGGAAGTTTGTCTGTTGAACAGTATCTTGACTCGAAAGCTGAAATACTTTGGTCTTATCAAGCACAATGGCGGACTGGAAAAAAAATGAAAGCAGAAGGCGTGGTACCAGGAAGGTGGGCAGGGGCTGACCAACATGAAGATGGACACAAGATATCAGTGACTCCTTGAATATGGAAGTACACGAGGCGGGAGAGCTGGCGAGAGAACATTTTTTTTCAGACCAACGGTTATAAGAGCGACGTTCTGCTACGTGATCATATTACTCTTTTAAACTGCCCAGTCGACTAGGGTTCAAATCCGTGTGGTGATGTGTGTGTTTTTTTTTTATATTGACATGGGCTGTTGACTGGTCGACCCAATCTAAACTTAGTAGCAGGAAGTGTTTTTGACAGTAAAAGCGCCCGACTAGACGACGCCACCTTTCGAGTTTTAATTGATAAATTACACGTTGGTTTAGCACCATATGTCCCGAGGCACCAGTGATTTGAAAAGGCTCTTTTACTCTGTATATGCCATTTGCTTTGCTTTGCTTTTTGTTTTGTTTTGGGAAAGTGTATATGCTACTAAGAAATAACAAGCTAAACATTGCTAGATTATGTACTGTGAGTGTATATATTCTCTTCCAAAAATACACGTTTTATAAATGATACTTTATCATGGGAATAATTACTGGTTTTGTAAAAAAGGTAACATACATATTATTTGCTTTGCTTCATGGACAATGTACCTGTTTTCAAGAATTAAAAGTTCACTAGCTAAACCTTGTCGTATGATATACTGTGTATGTGTGCATTTTCTTCTAAATATACACTTACCTTGTAGGTAATGACGCTTGTATTTGGGAATTAATACTGGTATTATAATAAAAATAACATATATAATATTCGATTTCTTTATCTTTTTTGACAATAGTAGCAGGCACAATTTGTTTTTTTTAATTCTTCTATTCGTAATACACTAGTGGGGGTTCGATCATTCCATATATACTTTTTACGTTTTTGCGGTTTTCATTTCATATATTGTCTGTTTCCGCATTCAATGCAGACGTGTTAAGGATAACTTTCCGGTTACTCAAGAAATTGTTTTTTTTTTTTTTTTTTTTCTATTAGAAATCTCTTGTATTCAGGCAAGAGTTAATGCAAGTAAAAATGCCAAAGATAAAGAAATTGTTCTTTACAACAGAAATTCGCCACATCCGAGACCATTTTTAGCGGTCCGCACTGTTATGTTATATATTCACAATCGACATCATTGTAAATTGCACATTCCCAAGCGTGCTCAGTCCTCTGATGCAACTGCCTCGCGAAGATACAGATACTGACTGTTTCTATGACAAGTTGATTATGTCTCCTTTCTTGATCTCAAAGCCCGCATAGACGTGCTTAGCAGTCCTCACTCCATAGTCAAGTAATTAGACAAGTTGTCAGGGGTTCCTTTTTATTAGAAAGACATAAAAACTTGAGCAGAAAAAAGGACATCCCACTAATATTTGAAGCTGAAAACCATGGTGTGGATATTTCGCTTGATTTGTTTCTATAATATTATCATTGATTACTATTTATGGTCGTGTGTTTTACATGTTTCTTTCACGTTCCACTATCCCCGTTGCTCTTAGTATTCACTTATTCACTTATAAATTACTTTCTTGAGCTTCTGCTATTTATTTTAAATGATAACGTACATATTTCTTTCTGAAACCTTTTTCCTTGTGTTATATTGTTAAAATAAAGAGGAAGAACAGAATACGTGAGGCTGAAACTGCATTTTATAAAATGAAGAACATTTTATGCAACAGATCCATGTCACTGGAGGTTAGAAAAAGGATGCGGGTGTGAGAGCTTGTTTTAATATATGGCTATAAATGCTGGTCAATTAATGAAGATGTCAAACAATTTCTTGAGGCTTTAGAGATCTGATTTTACAGAAGAATTCATAAAATTATGTGGACAGCCAGAAAGAGCAACTCAGATGTTTTGTAAAAGGCGAGGACTGGAAAACTTGTCACAAGCATCAGAAAGAGACAGTAATCATTTTTGGTCAAATTATGAGAAGAAGAAAATTGGAATATGTTGCGGCGACCACTGACAGGATCTGTGAGGGGGAAAAAAGAGAGACAATGGAAGACAGCGCAAGAATATTCTTAACCGCTTGTTGTCATGGCATAGAGGGTGTCTCAGCACAGGAACTAATACAAGCTGATTGCAGAGATGCATGATGGCCCACGCAAGTTGGCAGGGTACTTGATGATGATGATGATGATTTATTTTTGTTAGTTGAGTTGAGTGGAGTTGAGTCAATAATTGACATCACAGCACTAGGGGCATTCCTATGCATGCTCCGTCCTCATCTTCAGCAGCCAGCGCAGAGTTCCAAAACTGATTGTACTAGTCACAATCTGGTTAAATGTCCCTCTTGCCTTTCCTCTGATTGTAGTAAGCCGGCCACACTCTCTGGTTACACCCAGATGCCTCATTCTCCTTAGGCCATAATAATCTTCTTTCTCTTCTGATTCCGTTGCTTGTTCCCAAAGGCCTTGACCACATTTTCTGAGTTTTACAGTGCAATCATTAGCAGATATGTCAGTTCCACAAACACACACACAATATTACCGATGTATTAGCAGTTTATTATCTTATCTCATTTTTTGTTTTCAAATGTCATGTAGCAAGTTTTATAAAAATTTTCTAGAAATGTTCCTAGGAAAGACGACAATGACCTAAATCGTTGTACCCAACTCATACACCATGGCTTTTCTTTGCAGTCGGGACCTATCTACCTGAGCAGGAAGGAACCAACACTGCATAAAAGTAAACCAGATTTATAAAATACGGATGTGCACACACAATTCATGAGCTGGAGCAAGGTTAAAGTCCAGAAGAAGTGGGTAAACAACAACAACTTTCAGCCGGAGTTGGCATGCCGTTAAGCACAACGAAGAAACAGAAGGGGGAAAAAAAAAGAAAAGAAAATACATGTTGGCTAAAATTAGGTGACTAGGACTTTACACACTGTCTGCTGTGTAACACACACACACACACACACACACACACACACACACAAAAACATTGTACATTTCTCTCTCTCTATCTATCAGTCTCTCTCTCTCTCTTTCTCTCTCTCTCTCTCTCTCTCTCTCTCTCTCTCTCTCTCTCTCTCTCTCTCTCTCTCTCTCTCTCTCTCTCCTTCTCGCTCTGTCTGTTGTCAAAGAATTCGTAATTAACTTTGAAATAAAATATATTACAGACAATTATAATTATATTACCACGAATGTCTTTCGTGACGAAATAGTCAGAGTACAAACTGCATCCTCTGTTTTAAACGTTAATCTCACCTAATATTAACATTACTCGTATTTGCAATAACGAAAACAGAATTAAAAAAACTCTTCTTTGGCTTTATATAATAAACACTTCACTAATGGCATGTTCGTTCTGGTACTTCCATGTACCCCACCATGTCGGCCACTTTTACGTCCTGGTACAATTTTTGT